CCGGTGCGGCCGCCGCTGTCCTTCCGTCCTGTCGGTAGGTGTTTTCTCCTTCTGGTACAAATCGAGTCATTGGGGCGTTGACGACGACATGGGGCTACGAAGTGAAAATATGTGGTAGCGCGTCGTAATGGATGGAGGTCGGAGCTGAAAAAAATGGTAGGGGAGCTGAAGCGGAGGCAACATTTGCCCTATCAGAATAGCGGACTCTGTAAAGATGGACAGGAGGAGGCGAAAATGGCTGCATGTACATTGAATGGTGGCCATACCAATTACAATAGTAGATTGTCGTTGAAATTGTCGTTTCTTTCAGGTTCATCCCAGCGGTAGCCTCAGTCTAATGCAGGGGTGGTCTGCAGGAGGTGGGAGGGACAGCCGTCTGAAAGTTGGCCAGCGCTCGAGCAGTAAATAGATGAGTTGAGTCGGGATGATGCAGGACAGACAGATGAACGTTGGAGCACGACCCGAGTGACGTGAGTGTTGAAAAGCCCAAAATTCCATCGGTGGGTTTGCAGAAGTCCTTGCGCAAGCTTCGTCAAGTCTCAGATCAATATCTGCAACCCACCCACCAAAATGACAAAAATAAAAATAAAATAAAAAGTGTGTAGGTTTTTTTTTTTTGGGGGGGGGGGGGGAAGGAGAAGGCAAAAAGCACGTACCGTCATCGTGTGTACACAATCTGTGGAAAGCGACTTTGGAAGCTCTTTTCTGTTTCCTCTTTTATTTTTTATTTTTTTATTATGAACATTTCCTCCTTCCTCTTTCCAAGATCGGCTCTGACCCTTCCGCCAATTGAGTGCCTCTTGCCTGGTGAGGAAGAGGGGAGAGCTAAGTGGCAAAACAGCGCACCTTCCTCAAGAGCTGGGTAATATGAGGAAGTCGTCACCCATGGACGACTGCCCGTTTCGGCGTTAATGTTAATGCCGACATGCCTGCCTTTCCTCCCCCTTGCGACCCCCGTCCCCTCCTTTCCCCCCTCCTTGGCCGCTCTTCCCTTCTCCGCTCAATCTTCGGATGGAAAGGGTTTGCTGGCCACTTGGAGGCCCGTTTACTTTCCCCTTCGGGGCACCCTCCTTTCCATTCTGCACATTCTGGCCTCCCGTCACCCCGCGCTGGGGGTGCATGTGACGGACGAACTCCTCCACTCAGAACCGTAAGCCTCCGCATTCTCGCCATTTCACAAGCGCTTAATGTCCTGTCACTTGATTGTTCACGCTGAAGAAATTGGCCGCTAGAGCGTGTGATGAACATGGAACCCATCACCTGTAATAACAAGTTTTCAGCCTCCGATACTCACCGGTATCCCACCGAAAGAGGGTGTGAAGACGTGGACTGCAGCCTATACACAGTCCGTATTATCCCATCCATGCCAATGCCAAACGATTCACTCCTGTTGTGAATTCTGCTGACCTAGCCCCATGCCTATCGTCCATATGCGCCAGCCACCAATACATCGTCACATCACATCACCTAACCCAACCCTCTGGATGACGCAGCAAGGAACCTCCAGATCTAAGAATACCGGCCTTCACGTTGCTGACCTATCGATGCTTGTCATTAAGCAAAGTCCCTCCCAACGTGATCACCGCTGCATGCAAGAAGCTTGGGCTTTCCCGGTCCTGCCTCTTTGGTTTCTTTCCTGCTTCTTGCTGGTGTTCTAACCTGCGCCCTATCTCCTTCCCTGTTTCTGCTTCTCACGTGTCTCGTATGTGATGATGCATCGTTAAAAGAGGCTCTGACTCCTTCCAACCCCGCCTCGGCGTGCAGTTCATCGCACTTTCCTTAATTCTTGCCTGCAGTTTTGGTGCGTATGGTCGGCCTCGTCACTGGTTTGTAGCCTATCGATTACATCTTCAAATAATCCAAAAGACACAGCAAACTTCACGCAGGCAGATGTTGTCGTTGCCTGCCTCAATTGTTCAGCTCGTCGAGTCACACTAATTCAGCCAGCCGCCCATAAAGCAACTCGTCCGTGTTACACTACCACTATATTAACTCCGGCTTGGTCCCCAGCTCTTTTCACACTGAATCAGGCGGCCTCTATACGCTTCCCTGCCGTGGTTATCTGTTTGTCATCGGCATTGCAGCATAATCAAGCAAATACGGATACGATTTTCAACCCCAGTTTGTCTTCCCGCCGTGCATAGCTTGGCACAACCGTTCCTGTCGCATTCCGCCGGCGACCAATATCACGGACCGAACTTGCTCATTTAAAGGGACGGCACATTTCATCTGCTACAGGACTGAGGTTCCGACTAAGCCCCAACGCCAGCCAGGGTCTTTCCGGCCACATTTTTGAGTCAAGGGGCACAAAAGCAAAAGCAAAAAATGTTTGGGGGAGAGGAATAAAAGAAGATAAAAAAAAAAAAAAAGGAACCTTGTTCATGGGTTCGGACTAGGATCCCACATACCAACACCACTTGGGTCCTTGTAAGCCGCCTCACCGAAAGCGCACGGAACCAAGTGCAAACAGGCAGCACCTGGCTACGAACATCAACACCAAGGAGTCATCATCCGCCAAAACAGTCGGGGGCCATTCCTCTCACCTGGGGCGCATACCAAATTCCTTTGACCCCAACTATTCTCACACGCTTTCCTCCTCCGTCATACCCTTCCTCAAGGAATCTCTTCCTATATTGCATCGGCAGGTCACGAAATCATCTTCATACCAACCGCACTACATAGTTTCCCTTAGTCTTGCCCGGCCTACCGCTGTCGTCGCTGGTAGGGTGGGCTCGTGTTTCGGTGGCCTTCACCTTGTCACCGTATGATTCACCGTAGGAATCCCAACAATTGCAACCCTGCTGCAAAATCAAGGACCAGACAGCGGCCAGCCACGTTACGCCAGGGGGAACGAAAGAGAGAAAATTTTTCACCGGGGACGCTTTAGCGGCACTGACCCGGTGAGATCCCGCTGCCGCACCGTTGGAGTGCTTTTTTAAGAGGGCATTGCCAAATCCAAATTAATCGTACGCCTGTTCGTGCGAGAAGCCAATTTCGCTTACCAAACACCGGCAAATTTTTTACACACGGCAGCGCCAGCAATAACCAGGATCGCTGGCCTTCCATCTCTGGGGTTCGCTTCGATAGCATTTCATGAGCACCTTGCGCCCGGCGACTAGGAATACCAGCCGGGATCTCACGGACGTTAGCGTCGACTCGTTGAAACGACAAGGCCTCCCAGCCTTGATTCTTGAGGTCCTTCAGCGAGGGCAGGGTGTAAGTGCGCAAGTCTTTCCTGTGCCAGCCAGGTCTTCCCACATCAACCACTATCAAAACTCCAGGGTAAGATACCGGATTTTGACACAGATGTGGCCAATTTCGCGCGTCAAAGTGCGAATACCGATCTTCCTGTCTAAACGAACGGCCCATTTGTGACCATTCCACCTGCTGCCGACCAATACGGAAGGTTGAATTGAGATTGACGCAAAAGCAACCTCTGCCGAAACAATAGAGGGGCATAATAGCGTGTATACGTCTGTGTTTACGTGTGCGTGTGTGTGTGTGTGTCCCTTCTTGGCGACGAACAATAGGAAAAAAAAAAAAAAGCAATCAGAGGAGCGTAGTGCTCTGTACTCTGTACAAGTGCCAGAGTTAGGACGGTCAAGCCAACTGCGACCAAACGCATTAGGCAAAGACGACGACGACCTGCATTCTTCTCTGCCCCTCGTTATTTTTACGGACGTGCCTGTGTCGATATTGTGTTTATTTCAAGGAGTTGTGTCGAGTCAGCATCACAGCACGCTCCTCCTATCGCGCAGTTGAGCAGCGTGATCGCTGATTGACATTGACTCACTGCGCCGGACTGCGCTGACGAGAAGACAATCGAGGCCGTGAGCTTCTGAGCGAAAGACCCTGAGTTGTCTGAAGACGCCTGCGCCTTGGTGCATTTAGACAGCTGAATCACGGACGCAGCGGGCTGAATCGCCGTTGGATTCGCTACAGTAGACGCACCAACAACATCTTGATGACGGACGACGGGCCGGCGATTGGTCTTGAACCGAAAAAAGGAAGAGGACAATTCTGCTCACGTCGCAATCACTGGCCAGTGTTGAGGCCTAAGAGCTGGCACTGTACGGTGTGGCTTAATACCAAATTGTGCACATCGCACTTATTGAGAAAGCCATCTGTGCCTCCCTGCGGCCAAACCGGGAGTGAGTAATCCTCAGCTTGCAGGGGATACTCCCTAAGGGGTGGCAGAGAAAGGTACTTTACTCAAGTAGCCTTTCTAGAACCACACCCATCTGGCAACATTTCATCTGTGTTCCTCCAAGAAGTGGAGGGGGTCGTAATTGGGACCAGGTTCTGCTGCGAGCCAGCCCCCCTTGACACCCCCTGCGAGGCTAAGCAGGGGTGTAGGAACTTCTGGACCCATCAAGCTTGAAAAATCTACACACCCACCCCATTCTCTTCCACCCCTTGCTCACCCTCTCTCCTCACACAAAACCTGTGAATAATAAATAGCCCAACACCTCACTAAGATTCCCTCCTCCTACCTTCTCTCTCTCATTTTTGGCTTTCGCCAATCATTTCAATCTTTAAATATTTTGCCTCGGCCTATCATCTCACTTCCAATCAACGTCATCGTTCGAATTGCTGGCGAGCCCGAAGAAGCCTCCAGCAACTTCCCGCTACTCACCCGAGGTCGAGAAGATTCTCTCCACTCTCGGTAATCTGAATCCTATCCTTGGTCATCGAGGGTAACCCGCAGCAGTTATCAAACTTGGTCATGTTCGGCTACAGAAGACAATTTCCCTCTCCTCTATCTTCCGACCGCATACCAAGGTGACTTGCTTCACCTTCTTTCGTGCCTCGACACCGGCACGACACCTGGCCCTGGAATCAGAAATCCGCATCAACAACACCGAACTTTGGGGGAAACGACGTAAAGAGTTAGCAAGAGGACGCAGCAGCAGGAGTAGCTGAAAGTCTGCAGAGAAGAGATTCTTTTTTTTGGACGACATCGAGAAGGACGTCACCACCAAACCCCCACATACAACAACATGGCAAACTACACACCCTACACAGGTTCCACTCCTGGCGAGGAGTACTACTACGCCCGGGAACGATTCCAGTCGGCAACTCCAACTCCCTCCCCTCGGGGCCACTCATCCTACTATTACCAAGGCGCCACTCCGCAGCGACCGGCGACTCGCGCGCATTTCCGCAACGCCAGCAGCGGCTTTAGCGAGTACAGTCCTCGTCCCCCGACGGCGTCGCCTCGGTACACGAGCGATGGCTACTATGCCACGGCAAATGTGAGTAGTGGTCATCATTCGCGCAAGCATTCATGGGCCACTCCGTCGCAACCAAAGCGCGAGCGCCGAAGTTCCTTTGTCTATGTCCGGGCCTCCACTCCCCTCGGGGAGTCCGACGAGGATGAGATCATCGAGGTGGATGGTCGTACCTACGTGTTGCCGGCAAAGTCGTCGCGATCAAGGAGCAAAAGACACTCTGTTCAAGAGACATATTTCTATGAAGACGCGGGTCGAGGATATGCCACTGATTACCACTATCCTAAGCAGGGCGGATTCACTTACATTGAGCGCGATGCTGCCCCTTATGAGCCGCAACCCCGCTCATCTCGCCCTACCCCAGCCAACACCCACTCCCGCCGCTCCTCGGCGTCAATTCCCCAGAGGCCGGCCACCACCCGTCCCACCAACACCACCCAGCAGAAGAAGGCGCCGCCTGTCCGCCAGGCCACCGAGGCGGACGCCAAGAGGCACAAGATCCCCCCTGGATACTCCCTCAAGAACTGGGACCCCACTGAGGAGCCAATTCTCCTACTTGGCAGCGTCTTTGACTCTAACTCTCTTGGAAAGTGGATCTATGACTGGACCGTTTTCCATCACGGACCTGCCACTCCCATCTCCGACATGGCCGGTGAGCTCTGGCTCCTGCTGATCCAGTTGGCAGGAAAAATCAAGCGTGCAGATGAGACCGTTGAGCGCGTTCGCAGCTCCGAGAGCAAGGAGATTCTCGAGGACTTCATCGACTCAGGCGAGCGCCTGACCGATAAGCTCCGCAAGCTTCTCAAGACATGCGAATCTCCCATGCTCAAGGCTAACAAGAAGGGTGCTTCCCTCGGCAAGAACGCCGGTGTTGAGTTCGTTGAGACGCTCTTTGGCCGTGAGCGCGAGCTGGACAAGACCGAGAGATTCATGCAGGGTGTTCGTCTTTTCAACCTGAGGTTCGATGCCAACTGTGAGGATATCCTCCGGAACCCCACGGCCTAAACGGACCACACGTACCCGAGCCCTTTTGGATTAAAAAACCCTCTCTGCCTGGTCTCCTATGTTTCTTGTCCCAAGCTATTATTTCCGGATGGATGTTTTCCTTTGGACACCCGGACGGACTTGCCACAAGGAGCCACATATACAACACACAGAAAACAACCCAAAAAAAGAACCAATATCGGACCGACGGACGGCGTTGCCGATTGTACGATTAGGAATCTGTTTTCAGGATCTTATTTGCCCAGGGGAATTTCCTTTTCCATATCCATCTACGCGCACCAGGGGACATGGGATTTTCTCTTATCGCCATAAACATAATGCGGCGCGAGCTGTTACGCATCAGGGATACACATTACCAGGGATCTCTTTCTTATCGATACCCAAGATACCTTACGGACCAACTCGGTGCCGGAACCCCCGAGTCAATGAGGACGACGGGACAAGACGAGGACGAAATACACGAGCACATTGCAACGGCTGTCACTCCATCGACATTTGCGTGTTTCGGATGGATTTTCAACAAAAAGCATGCTTTGAATTGCGACTACGAAGAATTTTTATTTTATTTTACGGGCGACTGCGACCACGGTCCCAGTCATGGAACAGCGCTCAAGTTTGGAAAGCACGCGTTTATCTTTGCTTTGGGGATTATTAAAGCACACGCGCAAAGGAACAGTCATGCCAATGTGATAATAGTGTTCGTTGTACGCAACGACGATTTGATTTTTTTGTTTGAATTTTAGACGGGAAAGGGAAATCGGGATTGGAATTTTTGTTTTTTTTTATTTTAACCATCGTTTTTATTGTTATTGTTGGATACAAGCAGCTGGCCGCGCCGGAGGCCCCCCGCCATCACTTTACTACAAGTTTGAGACTCCCAATTCATTGGCAGGAGTCGATATTTTTCCTTTCTTGAGCAGGAAGACGTGGAGGAGAGTGCTGGCATAAGATACCCCTTCCTTTTAGCTAGTTTAGGCTCGTCAGTGGGACGAATGGAGGAGCCGTCAGAGAGAATAGTTATGAAAGAACCAAAATCAGTATCATTCAAGACTTTTGTGCCTATTGCAGCATTTTGCATATCACTTGTGATATTTTTTACAAAAAGAAATTGGCGTATACTGTGCGCCGTGCTCGGACGAGAAGAGGGTTTTTCTTTTGTTTCCAACCATTTACATCCGTCGACAAGCACCTCTCATCATGGTAAAAGCACACACAAACACCCCGTCCCGCGCGGTCTGGACTTTCCTGTATACCGGCCACGGCAATCAAAGGGGGGGGGGGGGGGGGGTTTAAGTGAGCATGGGTCCACGTGGAGTCGTGGTTTGTAGATGTGTCCGGGCGGGTCCTTACGAACGGACGCGGGGGTGTGTAAGACGACGACGACGACGACGAAAAGAACAAACAAACGGCGGACGGAACACACAGGACAGGACGAGAAGGGGGAGGGTTGATCCCCACTTCCGCTAGTCCGTGCGGGTGCGGTGCGGTCCCAGGCGGCGCGTTTGAAAGGGGGGTGGGTGTGTATGAGGTCATTTCCATCGTACGCGACCCAGCCTCTTTTTGCGCGTTCAGGGGGAGGAGGGTTCCCTTGGAAACATGGTTGAATTCTGCGATATGAAGAAGTAAAAAGGAAATAGGGGGTTGAGAAAGGGAGGGGAGGGGAGGGGATGGGGTACGGTAGAGTGTTGTTTACCTGTTGGGGGGGATGAGGTTTGGAGATGGATAGACTTTTGGCTTTAGGAATTCTGCGGTTCGTATGAGGAGGGGGGCGTGTTTACGTGCCGGAATTTCAGGCTTACAGTGCGCCTCACTAATTAACGAAGGAAGGGGAGGGGACAAAAAAAATACAGACTAAAAAAAGATTTTTATTTGATTGTGCGCTGAGATGGATTTCGCTCGTCTCACATGTCTCAGTTGGGGAACTGGGAGAAACAAGTTGTGGCCAATACGTATGCTTTCTTTTCCGAACACAACAATCCCATTTGCAAAATTCCTCGTCTGGGAGGCGTGTATGTGGCGTGAGGGCTGTACTTTTTTCGTGGTTCAGACATGGTCTTACCCCCCAACTGAGGCTCTAATGGGGTTATTTTTCTTACACGGTACACACACTTACATCTCGGGCTTCAAGACATGATTCATCTACAGCGAGAACCTGGAGACATCAAAGATGGGAATGTAATGAGCATGTCTCTTTGCTGACTCGAAACTTTCTCAGCCGCATTCTCTTTCGGGCTTTCTTGCTGTTCTACCTCCCTTGGGCGCACAGCCCAGAGATCTGGACGGGCCTGACTTGTCTTGACCGTGTTGAGACGGGCGGGAGGACGTCCAGGGTCTTGTTCACGAGGTTTCTCCTCTGTGAAGAGACAGGTGTCGCCCCGTGTGTTTGCATAGGCTGTGCAGCCACGGGGAGATGACGAGATACTTCCGGCACGTTTTGACACGGCTGTGTTTGCATGCGATGAGCCCGTTATTTTGAGTTGCAGTAGTTCGGATGGAGCAGGGTTTGTTTGTTGTTCAAACGACAGCAAAAAAGTGCGTGCGTGCGTGCGTTTGCAGAGCTGGCAAGGTCCGGGATGGCCAACACGTCGATGCGCAAAACGTGGGCCAGCATCTGTCAGTCTTGCATGGGACGCGAGGCTGGGAAAGGGAATAGTTTTTTTGAATGGATAGGGCAAAGGAAGGTATGACAGGACCGCGATGGAGAGTGCCAGGTCTCAGCTTTCTTAGCCGATGGTGAAATGTTTTCTTTTCCCGCGACTCTGGAGCATGCAGGTGGTTTGAATGCGAGCCAAGACGCGGATGTGCCACTGTGAGATAATGGTTAGAGAGAAACGGCTTCCGAGACGAAACAGCGGCGCGAACGGTTCCGTTGCGGCGCCCAGTCTGGTGTGGCAGGCTTCTTTTCTGGCCCGGGTGGACTTCCCAGCGCCTTTTTGCAATAGATTGGAAACACAAGAACTTCTGGCGGTTCTAGCTCGTCATTGTGAGAACGCACCACACAAACAATAGTGTGCGGCGAACGTGGGGGGTGGTGTTTGTCACGAACAGGCAGGTGGTTGGTTTCGGCTAACAAACAGGTTTGAACATAGTGCCCGTTTGTCGAACTCCTCTCATACTAGCCAAAAGAGTCGAGAGGGTGTACGATGCCTTGTATTGGTGTGGAAGCATTCAGCCGTGTGCTGACCGGGGGGCCAACAGTAAAGGTGGGAGTTCGGTGTGACGAGCCTGTGATAGAGGCGTTTTGCCGGCGCGGGCGTCTGCAACACGGGCGGGCGCCAGTTTGCTTTTCGTACCGTGTTGAAGTAAAGTGTGGCTGCATCAGACATGGAATAAAAAAAATATCGCAAGGCTGGGAAAAGGGGGTTATCGACTCCGTTCAAGGGAAGTAAGTTGTGATTAAGATGTGGGTGCACAGTGATAGGCAGAACTGGTAGGCGCTAAGGTCGCCAATCAGCGGCCGGGCATGATGTGCAGGTGGCGGCGCTCAGTACTCCCTCGGCTACACCACGTTTTTTTTTTTTATTCTTGTATTCTTTCTTTTCTTTCTTGGGGATGTCGTACCGTACTACTAGTAAGCGTATGTCTCGGTACGGGGTTCCTATTCCTAAACTCGCAAAGGAAAAAAGTGCAGGTACTTCCGAGACCAGGCTGCGCTGATGACGGCGACTTGTACCGTGATTGGGTCAGAACTTGCAGGGTGGCATGAGCTTCTCAGATCTTGCGTAGGATGCAAAGTGCAAGATCCGTGGGGGGGCGGGAAGAATCGAGGGCGACATCTGGAGCGAAGGACAGTGGTAGCCTTACGAGCTGGTGTTGGTTGAGGGATGTAGCATGCCAATGAAGGGGCGTTTTCTGGGATAGGCAACGATGGGAGCTAGGTGTCTTCAATGTCTTGAATGACAGCCAGGATGGATTTTGAGGATAGCGCTCCTCCCGCTGGAGGCGTATGTGCCAGCGATGAAAGCGAGGCTGAAGTGTTGGCTTTTCACCCTTGCGTGCTCATAAGCTCCCTGTCAACGGCGAGAGGCTTATGGGGCTGGTTAGACGCGTAGAGACATGGATCGATAAGCGCCACCGATAAAAGTCTCACTGAAGAGTATCCGTGGGAGTATGGTATTATAGTTGGCCGCCTTGTCAGCTTAGAGTTGAACAGCTTTTAGGGCTAGAATGTATGGAAGTGAACGGCTTGCCTGGATTCTATAGAGTTGAGCAAGGTTGCTCCGTCTGGGTGGGCTAAAATTGCAGTGCAGAGACGAGCACTTTGTGGAGATGCAGGCCAGATCTGCAAGGCCACAAATACCATGTCAGGACCTGGTTATGCACGTTATGTTTGCAGTGAAGTTCCTAGTAATGTATGACAGGCAACCCTTCCCGAACTATTGTTGCCTTTCCGCTGCTGGCTGGCGCTACGAAGCCGAAATGTGAAAAAAGGTCGCTTATCTGTGATTGTCGGGCCAAATTGCATCCACTGCTGAGAAGGCGGGGTTGAGCTCTGGATCGCAATGGTGGATCAAGGTGATGGTTAGTTAGTACTCACATACCCATTACGGAAGCCAGCTACAGGGGCACCTGTCTGCGATTGAATATGGAAATGTGGGTATTCGTAAGGAAGAAGGAGGGGTAGGAAGGAGGGGAAAGAGCTCTTCGAAGCATTGGCAGGAGGGGAGAGCCTTGGAAGGTGGAAGGAAGCCCCTCGTTCCTCCTTCCTGCCAGAATCCAACTTGCTGGACCCCTTTCCCTGGACAAGCCAACTACTACGTACGGAAAGAAGCTGACATCATGACCACCAAACCTACCTGCCTGCAACACCCACAAAATCCAACACAGGTTTTTCCCCCCCAAATATCCAAGCCGCCTTGGTAATCAATTTTATCCTGGATATGCAAACCCCAACCACACATCTTTCTTTTACTGCCGACCATCACTACTACCTCTGTTCGCATTAGGTACCATAATTCTTTTTGTGGCTCAGCTTCAGCCAGCATTCATTTTTAGGGGGTGGTCTGACAGAGCATCAGGTAACCGTTGCAACACGAAATACGTGAATAAGCTGACCAACTGCTGCGCAATGGGGTTCTCACCTCACTTTTTTTACCCTCGCACCACATAAACGATGGCTATTACCGCTGCTACCTTATGCCACTTGTTGGCGCCAGACTTGAGTGGCTTCCAGAAACCCTTCCCGCCAACTGAATGCAACATGCAAACAGAAATGCAAGCACGCAGATGCATACTGCGCGAGCACAGCGCGGCACAGCAGAAACATTGCAGGCGGCCAGAAGCACCTCGATATTTTTGGCCCTCCCATCACACACGTCCACCCATTTGGCTCAGCTTAGCAATTTGCGTCATTTCCCACGGCCTTGCCGCCCCCCGTGCCCGTTCCCGAATGGGGTGAACATCTTTCCTTGAACCGCGACCGCAAAATGCACCACCCCTCCAGGGCCCCGTTCACGTCCATGTCTACGACCAGCATTGCATTCAAACCCTGACCCTGAACCTAGGCCTACCCGGCCAGTTCCTCCCAGTGCTCTGTCGGCCCGTTCCAAGTGAACGAACACCCCTCCCGACTGTCACTTGTCATCAATTAAGCACCCTTTTTCAGCGTCCAGCCAGTGTGTCGTCACCTGCACACCACCTCGGTCTGCCCACGTTTCCTTTTCCGACATCCGACCGTGGTCCGCATTGCCAAAGATTACGACGAGTCGGCCGTCCCCTCCTCCGGTTGTTGATCATACGAAATATGATGAGGTCTCTGAAAGTCTTTGGCCCTGGATAGATTCTCCAAACTTTGGAATGGGCTCATTGCCCGCGTGATAGGGTCCCTGCCGCTCCCTCCGCGCCTTTCGCGCCGCGTTAAAGGTCTCGCTGCAGTGAATGTTGGTGGTGAGCATCCTGTGACTTTTACCCTGCTTGGCGGGGTCCCACAGGCAATGCCGCATACGACGATAGAGGGGTGCTGAGAATCGAGAGGGGAAGACAGCAGGCGAGGGAGGGGTTCGTTTGCGGACATCTTCTTCCATGAATGTGCCCTATTCGTGCCCACCCTCCACCTGTGGCTGATGCTACAGCGGAGTCTGTCTCTCTCTTGCTCAGGTCTTCACTCCGCTCCAACTCAGTATTTCCCTTATTCGGACACTGTCTGTATTGCAGCCCCGAAAGCCGCGTCAAACCTCCTTACCACAACACGCAAGCATTCGTGCCGCAGGAGTATCAATCCATCACAAGAGAGAGAAATCCTTCAGTTCGTCATGTTCATGAAAGTGGCTCCGTGGCTTAACCACGCCCAGCTTGCTCGGGACGAGGCGCCATTCCCGACCGATCCGACAGACCATCGCTCTTTGCAAAGTGCAAAACCATTAACCCGGGCGGCCCCGTACGGGCAACGTGCTCTCCACGCCGAAGGACGCTTGTCCTGCACGTAAATGTCGCGGACCACATGGAAAGTCAAGCCCCTGTCACAGCCAATGACGATTGCCGCCCACCCATCGCCCTGGGGGCGTGTGAAGCGTTGTGCCAGAGGTACCTCATGTACATGCCTCTGTTCGTACCGGCACGATAAACCACACCCTGCCATTTCTGTGCTGACCTGCTTACCCCGCCATGCATATCCGCGCCTTCACAACCCTTCGATTCTTCAGCACAGTGCGTTCCGTTTCTTCACCGGCGGGCTGCTGCTTTGCGGGCGGCAGAATGCTCACTGGCCCGGTCTTCTGCGGAAACCGCAATGCTATACATGTTGGCCGGCTAAATCCTAGGCACACATTATTAGGGGACGTATGCAACTTTCTCTGCATAGCAGTATTCCTTGAATGCCGTGACATTGCCAGGTCTATTTTGGCTACCCAGACGTGACCTCAATAATGGGAATCCTATCCTCATTAAGGAGCACAGCACGTTAAACGGCGTAGCAATAAGCAATTTAGGGCAATGGGGTTGTTAGCCAAAGATAGAAAGGAGCCATTGTCTCTAGATCTCCGTACTACAGACCGCCGGTCCCGGCCAGCGCAGAAAGTAAAATGTAGGTACTAAAATAACCAGCCTAAAATTTCACCTTTTGAATTCCTGGGGTCTTTGTATCAGACGCGTCGACGGCGCCGATTCCCAGCCACCGCCGGCTTCTGGAAATCAAGCCCGTCGCAAAATGGCCCTGCCAGCACGCACCGCGATTGGCAAATGATAGGAGACTTTTCCTACTTCCACATACTCGAGCTCTCCGCGCCGGCCTTCTTGCCTTCCTGGTACGTGTCGCTAAGCGCGTTGTACAGCCCCTTGACACGCTCCATCTCGCCCCTCCAGTGCGCCCTTTCGCCCTCCGGCAGTTCGTCCACGAGGTCCCGTAGACTCCGCGCGGTGAAGAACTTGTTGGTGCGGTTATACAGCTCTCTTTTCCCCAAGGCCTCGTCGCCCTCGCCTTCTGCTCGTACGCGAAAGACTTGCTCCAAGATGTTGATGTCGTGCGGGATCGCAAACAGGTCGCGGCTGTCCTCGTAGGTGAAGAGGTAGTACACCTCCCGGAAGCCGGACCAGGCGATGCCGCTGAGGCAGAGGGAGCAGGGCTCGTGAGTCGCGAAGAAGACGCAGTCCGTCCTCGGCGAGGGGCGCGTGGACGGGTCCGGGTAGGTCGTCGTGAAGAACTGCTGGATGCAGTTGATCTCGCCGTGTAGCAGGGGTGACGTGCGCTCGTCGTTGGTCGCGACCGTGAAGGGCTCGAGGGTTTGGGAGGACAGGATGGCGGCGCCGAACAGCTTGCTCCCTGAAGACACGCCGCGCCGGGTCAATGGCACGATGCGGGTTTCGGTTAGGCTGAGGATGGAGGAGAGAAGGGTCTTGGGGTCGCGGGGTGGAAGGGGTTCGTCGGCCATCTTTGGCGTGCGGTGGCGGTCAGTCGAAGCTATACTAACTAGGTTGGAGTAAATGTGTTTGTTGGCACCTAGTATGGGGTGTGCGTGCGTGTGTGTGTGTACAAGTTAGTCGTGACAAGCTGTCTTGCATATGTCCTTGGATAGGTAAGTGATGAATGGTCTGGAATGGATATGCTGGTGGTTTTTATCGCCCGTGATGCTTATCACGGCCAGGTGGAGTGGCGCCGACCTGCTATCGGAGTCGTCCGTGGCGCGGATTTGCTGCTCTGCATGTCCGGTCGCGGCGACCTCCGATTCCACACGTCTCCGGTCCTTGATATGGATGTATATGGATCACTTGATCGGTCTCATAACTTTCGCTCTTGCGACGGGGGATTTCCCCGGTGCTGCGGAACCAGTTGAATGTAGAGATGCTGCACAGAGAAATATGTAGATGTAAAGTTGCTCAGGCGGTGAGTGAGTCTGTAGATTGAGTCCTGGCATTCAGTTGCTTTTAGTGGGGCCGGGAGCTCTCGGTGGATGACTAAGCCATATCCCGAGTTTTCACTGTGTCTATTCACTGTCCCGTTGAGACAAACGATGTAGTTGTACCTACCTACCCACCCTACCCATACGTTGATATTGAGTAAACCGGCCCAATGCATTACATACGGCTCCTTAGAGCCCCTAAACTCACATTTCAAAAGGAGAAGGGGAAAAAGCACCCATGGTCTCTGAATATCGTCTTGACTGTTACCACGGACTTGGGAGACTCGTTTCTCGTTCCCGATGAACCGGTCAAGATCAAGGTTGTCCTCGGTTGGGAACTACCGCGTTCGGAAGATGCCAATTCCATGAAACTTGCGGGGGAAAAGACGCTGCAGTGGACTTCGGGCATGCGGGTCTTGAAGGCCGATTTCCCCGCCATACATCTTGAACCAACATCAACTCTGCCAGCGGGAGAGACCCCCTTGCGCGTATGGATCACGGCTGGACCAAGGCAGTATGCTGGAACTGCGGAAACCATCGCAATGGCCGGTTTCAATAACACCGAGGACGGGAAGATTGTGCCTCTCTGGGCGAACGTCGAGGTCCCTGGCAGCGAAGCACCGACGACGTGCTTAAGACGCATACGGCTTGGCAGACGGCAGAGGCCGTTCATCGAGGTTGAGGAGGATATCGGGGAGAGCATAGCTCGTCACGTCTGGGATGCCGGCATGATGGTTGTTTCGAGGCTCTGGCTGCTCTGCGAGGGGGATTCCAGCATTAGTGCCGGGCATCCTCTATCCATGACGACGCTGCAGTCGCTACTTGTCAGTGAGGATACCGTAAATATCCTCGAGCTCGGGTGCGGCGTTGGCATTTTCGGCATCGGACTTGCTCGCATGTTGTCTCAGAGACATGATTCGTCCAAGAAGGGAAGAATCGTCATGACCGATCTCCCCGAAGCTGAAGAACGTGCTTGCACCAACATCAACATCCTGGACAAGATGGGTATCCCGTCAATTCGGCCGGAATATGAAAATCTCGACTGGGACGACGGAAGGGACGGAGATTTCGGGCCGCTCGTCAAGGACACATTTTGGGACCTTGTGGTGCTGAGCGACTGTACTTACAACGCCGACGCGCTGCCCGCCCTCATCGACACCTGGACGGCGATTCATAAGCAGAATGTAGCGTTAAGACCAAAGACTGAGCAAGTTGCTACCCGAGTCCTGGTCGCGATGAAGGTGCGCCATTCGGACGAGGACCGGCTGTGGCAGCTTGTCGAGGAGAACGGTTGGGCTGTTACGGAGCAGACGGTGATGCCGCTGCTGATGCTGGGCGGAGAGCCACAGGAGATATTTTTGTATCTATTTGAGAACAAGAAGCGCGCGTTTTCGTAAGCCCGTCTGCTCTTGTTGATTATTCGCGGGCTGCGAAGGTCAGTTGGTTTTTTTTTTTTGGGAGGGGGGGGGGGCGTGGTTGGGCAATGGGCTGATCTGACACGTCCCTCTTGTCTGCCCAATTCTGCCCACGCCGGCTGGCACTCCTGCGACCAACGGTTGGTTGTCGCGGGCGCCGCCGGTTGCTACCCGAAGGCCTCGCCTTTCCGGCCAGAACAGCCATTTTCGGGGACACTCACATGTCCGATCTGCGGTCTTCTCCAACCGTTGCTCTGTTGGTCCTCGCAGCCTCGCCGGCGTCTGCAGTCCCGGTACCCCGCGCCAGACAGACGTGCAGTCGTATGCCGTGCGACCATGCATTAGGGGGCGAACCGAGATGTTCTCGACCAGACTGAAACCCGACGACAAGGCGACTTTGACGAATGGCTCTGCAACACATGCGACATCACACCATCCTCGTGGATGGCCTCCAGCATTGGCAAATCATGGACTTCACTTGGGAAATCCCTTGCATCTAGCGGGATTTCCAACGAGATCTCGATTATACGTTGGGCTCCGGCGGCAGCGTTGGGAAAAAGATAAGCATATAATTACACTGCGCATTCCCATCGGCGCAGCAGAGGTCCTCCCCAGCACTCAAGTTTTCAACGTCACCCGTCACAATGGCAGCAGAATCCAAAACCAAGACTGCCACCAATGGCACCGTCAACGGCAACACCAAGGCTTCCTTCAAAGGCACAAAGCTGTACGAGACCATCCGCAACATGGTATCTTCGGCAAACGCCGTCAGCAGCGAGCTAAGTAACCTGCCTGACCTCGAGAAGCTCATGGAGAGCGAGAAGAGGCTCCGCAAGGAAGTCGAGGACAAGAACGCGGAAATCGAAAAGGTCAGGCAGGACACGGACAAAGAAATAGCAGACAAGAACAAGGAAATAGAAACCATCAAGAAAGAGACTGAAGAGCAGATCAAAGCCGTTCGGAAAGAGACGAACGAAGAGATTGGCAAGATCAGAGCTGATCTCGAAGCGGAAAAGCTTGCCAGACACGTCTTGATTACGGACTTTGAGGCCAGAGCCGGGGTGCACGACCAGACCAAGGCCGAGGGCACCGCCGCCAGCCAAAAGCTGGCGGAAGCTCTGCAGAATCTCCAGACTAAAGAAGGGGAGGTCGAGGCGGCGAGACAAAGGGTTGCGGAGCTGCAGCAGGCGTCTGACAAGTCGTTGGCGCAAGTCGAAGCCTTGAACGTGGAGAAGGATAAGATTATGAGAGAAAAGAAGCTCCTCTCTGCAGATTTGCAATCGAGGGAAGCGGAAATCGTCATATTCGAGTCGGATCTGCATCAGCTGCAAAGAGATGTTGGTGTCAACCTCTTGAAAGACTATACCGAACGCGAGCTCAACCAATTGTAAGGCGATAACCCTGCCGCTCCCCCCCCCCCCCCCCCCCCCATGATGATCGAGTAGTGCTAACTATCTGCCAGTCGTCGTGATGTGGAGGCTTTTGCCGAGGAATCCCGAAGTCTTGTAGTCGAGTTCTTCAAGGAACCCGACAACACACTGGTGAGTACCCCTTTTCCCGCGTAATTCACGACGTAAACACTAACCAGCAATAGAACACCATCAGCCTGCCCCAGCAACTGGATTACCTTAAGCAAGTCCCGCTGCCCAGGGCCGGCTCCACCCCTGACCTCCGGTGCCTCGTTGCCCAAGCCATCATCGCAAAGTACCTCCGCTCCCATATCTTTCAGCCTTTCTTCCTCCCTCCGGACGTCCACGGCGCAGGCAGTGCCCTTTTAGATTACCTCAGCGAAGACGTCCAGCGCGCCACCATCTTCCGGTGTCAGATCCTCGCCGCCTGCCAGCGCAACGGCTCAGCCAAGGTCGTCGCCAACATTGCCAAGGACGCGGTGTACCGCGAGCTGTGCGCTTTCGTCCCCGCGACCAGGTACCTCGCGCTCCAGCAGCGGCTGACCAAGTTCTTCGAGGACGGCGCGAAGCTGTGGGGCGAGGTGCAGCGCTCGAGGCAGTTCATCCTCTCTGAGTCCCTCGAGGACGAGGACATTGAGGAGTTTGACGACGAGACTCAGAGGCCCAGGTTGTGGGAGGAGTACGGCACGAGGTCGAGGAGCACCGCGGGCGGTCCCGGAGAGGTCGTCGCCACGCTGTTCCCGCAGATCGTCATTGAAGTCAACGACGACATCGTGAACATCCTCCACCCTGGCGTCGGGTTGTGGTCTGACCAGACGGTGGTTTTGGCTGCCACCCAGGCGCAGGCGAGGGGACAGGTAAACGGGAGGGTGAACGTTGAGGGAGCTAGGCCTCACAGCCAGAGGCGTAGGTCGAGTTCCAGCGCGCCGTCGGGCAGGCCGTGAGTTGCTTTGTTTTGGGGATAGATAATAGTGCCTTTTCAAGTAACGGAGGTGAAAGTCTGTCATGTAGTATCTAAATATTAGCGAGTTCATCATTACACATTCATTGCAATTAAATCCGCGTCCCAAGATCAAAAATAGATATCGAGCATGTCAGTTAGACGAGCACCAGCAAAAGGAATGCGCCGAGGGGGAATCGAACCCCCGGCTCCCCGACGCTGCTCGATGGCAACGGAGAATTTTACCACTAAACCATCGGCGCTTGATAGTTGCTGGTGAACTGAGATGCTAGAGACGAGGAATCTGACCCTCTTGTTGCTTTGCAGAGATGGCGGACGGGGTTGTGGATGCGCGAGGGCTTCACGGCCCTGGCCTGCGTGGAGCCTTTGCAGGGGGTGTCTGGCTACCATCTGGCGTTGAGGCGGTGTATGAATCCCCTGCCAATGGTTGAAATTACTCGGTTTTCGTGGGGTTTAGAACATTTTGATATGTTTGATGTACTGCGGCTATGTTGTTGTGATTATGGTGACCGACAACGTTGCCGAACAGGTTCGGATCCAGTGCCGGAGCGGGCTTTGGGTTGGTTTGAATAAACACTCATAGAGTTTGCTGCCTTGAGGGTTCCGACAATGTACTAAAGCATATCACTGTAGCATAGCTGGGATGTGTATCTTTGGTGCGCATTTAAAAGTGAATTCTTCGCATGAATAGACCTTGTGTTTAGTTTAAGTATTTGTGCACTGTGTGTTGAGGTTTACTTTACATGCTATCTGCGCAGCTTCCACTTAGAGTGCAGAACACTATTGAAGCCGTTATTAACTTCAACTTGACGAGTCCGTCTGCTCTCTTTTGATAACAAACCGAAGGCGGTCACGGGCATCTATGATACTTAGAAGGAAGATGAAGTCGCTTTCATTTGAAGCAATGCCGACGTGCTAGCCTCACCAGCAAGTCTACAAGTCGTCAACTAAGCGAACAAGAATGGCTCTTTGTACAAGGCTGCCACTCCCTCCTAACTTATGAGTGTTTCTTGCGGTTTTGAAAGCTTTAGAGCTGTCCCTTCTCTATCATTGCACACAAAGAACACGACACGCGTTTACTACACAAGGCCGCCACGGGTGCCAGCTCGCCTCACAACAACACCAAAAGACAAGAGAACAAGCGTCTTATAGCACAGGAGACTCTTGATTCAACCAAAGCACAAAAAATGGACGATCAGGGAATCGAACCCTGGACCGCTCACATGCTAAGCGAGAATTATACCACTAAACCAATCGCCCATGGAATGATTTCGCCCGGACTTGAACCGGAGACCTTCAGTGTGTTAGACTGACGTGATAACCAACTACACCACGAAACCATTGATTGTTGGAAGACGGTGCCAAACTTGTGTTCTTGAGAGAAGCGGTTGTGGACACAACGGGGTTCTCAGGTTCTTCTTGGTCCGCGGGCAGGGGCTAATTTAAATTGTAAAACTGCTAGTTTCGGTTCGCTCTAGTCGCAGCCAATAAACACCTTGTCGAAGAGCCAAAAACTACTTAGACCCTTGTTGAGCTGTCAGATTTTTTCCCGCTAGGGCCCGCATGGCTTCCGCTCATCCTCCGCCAGGGACCCGCAATACTTCCGGTCAGATCCCCGTAAATCTTCCGCAGGCGTAACAGTCGGCCCTGGAAGCTGGTTGAATTATGCTTATCGGACCTGAGCCGACAGAAGCAACTCTTTTAGGGAACCAGCTATGAGTATCGTCTTCGCAGGGCCGACATGCTGCGTGAGACAACCCTGTATCAGCATACCTTTATCCATGTTGGAGCGCCCAGCTCATCACATATTTTACGAACAACTTCTCACTCTACCACAGGTTCAATCATTAGATAGGACTCAGTTCTTTCAACCAAGTTAATTTCTAAGCACCCCAAAAGAAAACATGACAAGTAATCTCAAAATTCAGAAAGCTCGCCCGTGTATGAGACCATCTTCCCTCCATGCTTCTCCTTGGTAGTCGTAGCGAATACCTTTACCATTCCGTCACAGGACTCATCGATCCCGACGGGTGCCTCTTTCAGCCCAAATGCCCGAGCTCCCGCGTTTCCAAGATCAGTCTGGGTCCATCCAGGGTCCAAAATGAAGGAATTAAGCCAGTCCTCTTCGGCGTTGATCCTGATTCCAAACCAATGCAACGCTGCTTTCGACGGACCGTAAGCGGCGTTGGGGATGGGCGGCTGGTTTCTGGGGCATGTCAGTCATATATCGACCTCCAAGGTTTGTCTGAAACTCACACCAGGCGCCCGGCTATAGATCCCACCGGGGCGAATATGGGTTCTCTTGGCGACTTCTTCAATAACGGACGCGTAGCTTGGAAGAGCCGTATGACGCCGTACACGTTGGGTTCTATGTGTCCTTTCAGGTCCGCAATATCAAGTTCGGCAACCGGGGGCCAGATGTATGAGACGCCTGCGTTGGCAACAACGATGTCCAAGTGCTCTACGCCATGAGATTCTTGAAGTTCCTTGACTGCATTTTGCGCATCATGTTCGCTGGTCGCATCAATCTTGACAACAATCAGGCTGGTGCCCTCGGCCTTGGGTAAGTCCTTGAGGGCTTGGGAAGTAGGGTGAGACGGATCACGATTCGCCGCGATTACAGTATGATTCGGCAGGGCAAGATAACGCTGAAGCAGCCCTAGGCCTAAGCCACGGTTTGCACCGCTAATGAGAACGACGGTCGGAGACATGGTGGTTAGAGTAAGAGGAAGTAGTTTGAATATCTCCAGGTCTTCGGTATTACCCGACTGATACAAAGTCTCCAAGTTTTGCTGTTTAAATAGTTTCTACGAGGACAGCGGCATTCCAGACAACACAACTTTTGTTGACTAAAGTCTGGAATAGGGGCCTGGCGGGCCAAGGCGCAGCTGGACCCTGCCATTCGGGCAGAAGTCTTTCCGTGCGGCTTCATATTACAAGCCGGGAATAATTACACTGCCGAGTGATGCGGACATTGCGGGTTTCGGGCGGGTTTCTGGGCGCCTCGGCCTCTTGAAAGCCGGACTAATTCGGCCGGGGATGAGCGGAAGGATGACAACACGCTAAAAGTCACGTCAGCGCTCTTATCAGTCTCGCAATGGGATAACGTTGACTGCCGCACGAGAAGGTGAGCTTTGCTTTCAAATCAAACCAAATCACTAATTGACGTATGTCTTAATTCATAATAATTCCCAGGATTCGGACCCTGGCTAAGTTGGTATCTCTAAATACTGATTACAAAGAATCAAAGAAGAAAAAAACCTGGTAGCGCCTCAATTTAATCACCCTCATCACCTGTCTTTGTATTTCCCAGATTCCAAATATCATCGCATATCCAGTCATCGCCATCCAAGGTCCATAGAAAGTCGGGTATACTGTCGAACCTGGACCTATATCGATTAGAAACACCCATCCAGTCCCAGAAATCATGCCATCGCGTCGACATGGGGTGTTGAGATCCGTACTGTGTCTGCGATGACACTTTGATTCCGTCTTCGTTAAAGCAGTCGGCGACCTTCAACCACAATGTCTCGTCCTTCAGTTGATGAACTGCGATAGGATTCTCGCCCACAATCGCGTGAGAAATAGAGTTCGGGTGCGTTCTTTCTCTGGCCCATGCTGAGCCATCTGCTCGAGCGTCTTCGTCACTATAATCGAACTTTTCCGAGCCTTTGAAGTTGACAAAGTTGGCTCTCTCATGCCCCTTCAGCATAAGGGTCGCAATTGCCATGTCCTCGCCCGTGACAACGTTAAACTTGTCCTGCAGTGATGAAAGGAGCTCGACCATATCCCATGTTACGGTATACATAGCCCCATGGGGAAAGACGAGGTCCCAGTACGGAGAGTAGTAAAGCTCTCCTATTACTGTCCGAGTGACACTTCTCTCCAGCCTTCCAGTCTCATTGTTCATCGACAACCTCGGGAGCATGAATCGATCCCAGAATCCCCGAGCGTTCAACCACAAGTCTGTATCCATCTTCGAAACGAATTCGTACTTGTGGGGGCTGACAGTGACAAGCCACTTGTAGAACTCAAGCGTCTTGATTGTGTTCGCAGTGATATCGTCCTCCGGAATATGATCGAGCACAATCATGTCCCCATATGTGCGGTTCTCAAGGGCAACCACGTGCACCCACTGCTTACCGGGATTCGACACTACAAAACGACCGTCAAACGGTACGTCTTTATATAGTGTCATCCAGGTCGTTCTGATGAGCATCCTGCGTAGGGCATCCGGTGCTGACGATATAACCGCAGCGAGCCATGGGGCTGGTTGTTCGAATCCGCCAACATGGTCCGCTGTTTCTTCCTTTGGGGAATATGGAAAGGGTTCTAGTACCTCGGAAGATTTTGGTAAACCATCCACAATTTGACCGTGGACAACAGGCTTTGTGTCTGGTGCTTCAAAGGTGGCATGATGTTGAGGTAACGTCTCACGAGTGAGATAGAAGGTAACACAGAAGATGAAAACGGCGCTCAGAGCCAAGACACGAAAGAACTTCCTCTGAACACACCTAGTCAGAGAAGTCCGTATCCCGTACGGAACTGGCGAGAATGCCGTTGAGGACATGGTGCTACTCAGATGTAGCAATCAGAGGTTGAAAGTCCCAGATTTCGAGAATCCTGATGGCTAGGCAAAGTTCAAAGGGTGCGGGGGAAGGTTAAAAGGTGAGACGAGATGGAGAAAGCTCAAAACTCCATATTAAGTGTATTCAGGGAGCCCTGCCTATTTCAGGATATTTAAGGCGAACACAGCTAGCTGCCTGAAAAGTTAGAAGAAGAACGCGCACAAGCAAAACGTGTTAACCAAGCCCAAGTTCTTCCTGTGTTCCATCGTCTCATCCTCGCAGGCAAACTAGGCAATCTGCCACAGGTTCCGTTTGTAATGGGTGGGCTACTGCCGCAAGCCTTGCGCCCGATCGGCACCATGCTGTTCCTCGTTAGGTTTTGAATTGAAGCAATTGCCGATCAAGGATCCATGTCGACAGGGTACGTCATGAAAACACAAACAAGCTACCCGGGCTACTACACTTATTAGCTGGGCGAGTTAACATGCAAACAAAGCCTGGGCCTTATTTCATGCGGCCAATCATGTTTAACTGCCAACGACCTCCTAGTTGGGAGTTTCATACTTTTGGGGCAACTCAAAAGACAGCTGGCCCATCATAGGGGGGGGCTGCGTGCACTGCTAAATGGCTGGTTGTCGTGGGGCGCAGTGTGGCGGGTCAACTGACCCCATGCCGCCCAGAGCTTGACATACGCCCAACCCAACGGAAGAAGAAATGTCTGAGATTCCCTAGCGTACACTACCCGCCCGAAAATGGCCAACTTTTTGTGGCTTTGCAGAAACCAACATATATGTGCTGGTTGGCAGCGTGTGGGAATGGATTCAAAAGTGCCCACATAATGAGCTAACATTGACGGGAGCCTAGTTGATGTGCACAAAAAATAAGGCTGAGTAACGTCGGCCCACATACAATGACGCGTTCTTGTATTCGGTGACTTGAGGAAAAGGGGCACGCGACTAGAGGAAACATGATTGGAAATAGGGTAAAAGTAAACCAAGTAATCCCTTGTAATATAAGGCCCCATACGGAGCACCCCGCTTGTTTGTTAACGAGATATGTCCGGAGTCAAGGAATCCGAATCAACAAGGGCTATCATTTCTTAAACTAGATTTCTAAAAGCAGGTGCCGGTTAATCCAACTACCGAAGTACTATTGAACCAGGTTTCCATTCCCGTCAACATAAGCCCCTTCAAAGATGGCCGAATGTTTGCGTCGGGCTTTTTCATATCGAGTGCCCTAGCATATAACGTAACAAGCACATAGCATATGGGATACCAGCCAATTATACTCGAAAAGTGCAAAATTTTGCCATATGATGAGCATTATGTGTGGTTGGTATTCGGAGAAATATGGGCTTTGAAATGGATCGGCTGGTACCTATTGCCTTACCACACTCAATGGGATAGGCACGATCCACTGTTGATACTGATCTACCAGTTCCTTGGTCTAGCCCCCAGGCTTACGGACATTTGGGCTTGGACCGCAGGACTTGCTAGACCGAGATGTAATCACTTTACTTGCCTTGGATTGTCATCCAAAAGTAACAGACAAGCAAAAAAACATAACACAAACCTCTCAAAATTATGCATTTAATAGGACCAGCAAATGCACGAATTCAACCCGCCCGTGGTTCATGGAGTGGAGACAGCGCTCATAGCCGAAATCGGCTTCATATTGAGATCGCTAGGGCTAACCAACCATTCAGTGGTATTTTCTGTGCTTTTTCGAAGTAAGTTCATATTGCAGCCATATTCAATCCTCCTCCTTTTCTCTTGAAAGCGCTCTGGCCAGTAGATAATCCCTACGAAGATGACTAAGTCGTCTGGATGCACTTCATCATGTAAGCTCAACTGATAATGAACGACATGAGAGTCTTCTGCAAATGTAATGAATGAACAATATCAAGAATATTTTTCTTTGACAGGCGTACAAAATTTCAGTTGCTGAGGATCAAACTGGATGAAGCGCCTATTAACTTGGCTGGCAACTGGATAGTCGGCTGGTACTCGTGTTAATAATGCATCATTACGAGCTTAGAACGGGATGGATGCCTTGGCGAAATAGCATGCGGTGTGTTTCTTGCAAGCCGCACTGGTGTTGACTAGCCTTTAGATACTTCGGTCAATATTAAGAAGACGCTCCAGACTTGAGAAACGAAAAACGCATTACGCCGTGATATAACTCGATGAACAAGAGCTGGGAATCCTGGGCCACTTGCTATTTCCTACAGCTAATGGCCCTGAACTCCTGAGCCAGTTTGTTCTGGTTACCAGAGGGAATATTCAAGCCAACGAGACTATTTGAACCCAACGAGGGTGATGCTCAATCAGGGCTAAGTCACCAATTAATCAAGCCATACACCATTATACCAGTACGTAGTTGTATTGAGTAACAGGAAAAGAAAATCTAGGTATGTAGTACTTTCAAGGATAAAGGTCAGCATAGCGTGTATGCGTGTTCTTGATAAGCCATGGAGGGCCACAGTCTCGATGGAACTGATCCTCGAGAGGCTGAACTTGTTTGGTTTGCCTTAGCACGACTGACGTTCCGTCCTTGTTTTGTGCTTGGAACCGTTGGCGAGGCTTCGGATGACATTGCGACTAGTCTAGTTGTAGTAAGCTGGCTTCTTCAGGTAGGTGCGGGATGAGCTGCATGGACTAGCCTGCCATGTCCCTAAAAGGGTTGTTCTGCTCTCACTGATACATTTGTGATCAAAAGCCATGACCCGGAGCAATGAAGAATGGTCGCAACAACCTGCGGCTAGCGCAAAACTTATACTAACGCTGGTCCTTGCCTTGACTACTGTCAATTGTGAATGGCGAAGAATGCGGCCGACCTGATAGGTACTATGAGGCAAGCTGCGATTGTTTACTGCATAACCACATTTTCCCCTGCATACCTGCTGGAAAGCATTGAGTCTGACGGCAGACTGTAAATTCTGAGTTCGAATGCGTGATTAAATACACTTTGTCGATAGAGGTAAGAATATTTCTCGCCTCTAGCGAGTGGTGTGTCAATAAATATCGCCGCATAAGGACATCGAGTTTCGTGCGATGATTCTAAAAACGCCTCGTTTTGTACAGAGTTTGTATTACAAATCATCACTCGCTTTAGGAGGAATGAAAAGTGTTTGCAAGCAACCATCTTTAAATCTAGCTTCAACTCTTGTGTACGCCACGTTGGCTTGTTTTAGAGCAAAGGCTTGATTTCCCCTCCAAATATTGCCAAACAAGGCAGGTTTACAGGTTCTTGTGGTATTACCCGTCCTTCGTTCACATTTAAACAGTAATATCATTAAATAAAAATGGCCAAATGCCGCCATGCTGTTGAAAGCATATTGCTGTGCTGATGACCGCGACACAGTCTGATTCAATGTATTCAATTCGCCAATCAAAGTATCATTTCGCTCCTAGTAGACATCTAAATAATATCTGGTTTAAAATTATCAATACTCAATCATTCCTTTATCGACCCGATTAGGTGAGTGCTGGCCAGTACAAGTACTGATGACAGGGGTCCGGGCGGGGAAGAGCACGCCAGACCGAAGTCGCATGACATCACCAGATTGTCGTTGACCTCCCTTTGAAACCGTTGTGCAATCCGTCATACATCACCCAAGACCTTTGCGAGTGTCAAGAAGCAATATTATGAGTTCCTAGGCCTCCAAAAAATTCTCTTGACCACAAATATCTCCGCTGCAGGATCGCTTCTCCACTGTGGTGTCTTGAACCCACCGACGACGAGACAGGCATCAGAATGATGGCCACCATTGCAGGCAAGCTCCTGGCAGCATTCGCCTTGTGCAGTATCACCAATGCCGCTCCGGCAAGAGAGCAACAGGTCATTCTTGGGGGAAACGCCGACTTGACTCGCGTTCATGATGAGTACGTCATTCCCGTTATGCGTCCGTCTGGGCATCCAGTACTAAATGTTGCGTGTAGGCTGTCAAAGGCACAAATAATACCAACTGTGGTTGACGACTTCCAACCAATCTTGGGCCTCTCGGCCGAGTGGGAATCCTCAAACGTTGCGGACCTAGGCAACACGCTCAAACCTGGAGACCTTCAGTCTGCGCCGTCGGTGTCTCTCGTCAAGGGCTCGGCGTTCCCGGGCATTCAGATTACCACCACCTATGTGCTCACCTTGACTGACCCAGATGCGCCTTCGCGAGATAATCCGAAGTGGTCGGAATTCTGTCACTGGATAGCCACCGGCGTCTCCCCTTCGTCAGCCGGAGCGAAGCCCGCCGTCGAGGACGTCGTTGAGTACAAGCCTCCCGGACCTCCCGTAAGGACCGGAAAGCACCGTTACGTCTTCCTTGTTTGGATCCCAGCCAACGGAACGACTGAAAGACTGAACTTATCTAAGCCTGAGGAGCGCAAGCACTGGGGAGGGGAGGAGGGACGCGGCGTTCGCAATTGGGCTAAAGAGAACGGTCTTATTCCTGTTGGTGAGTTACGATAGAGTCTTCTATCTATGATTGATCACTAACCTTCAACTAGCTGCGAACTTCATTTATGCTCAAAATGAGAAGCAGTATTGATTATGAAGGAAATTGCAGGCACCTATAGCTATTGGAACGCGTTTTCCCGCGAACCGCTATTCATATCTTTGATCTTTATGGGAGCCATCGATTAGATTAACTCGAAAAGTAAAGCCTGGCAAGCGCGTTTATTGCAAAAATGTAGTTCTCCATCATACCTACGAACACCAAGCGTGGTCATTAAAAGCTCTTCACTCTTTCTACTGTCACACCTGAACGTTGTGCCATTCAGTTCATGCCAAGGTCCGTGATATTATCGACTTGGGTGTCATTTTTGAGGTCTTTTGTGGTGTATTCGGGGGTTCCCTCTGCTTTGGACGAAGAAGTTGGCGCTTCGGACTGCAAGCAGATAAAGGTCAGCAGTTAGTGTCCTACCTAATGCCCGGTTAATGATTGGGTGATTCCAGGCTTTCACCGACAGCAAGCTAGTTTATGAGCTAAAGCCCAGGTACGGATGGCTATGAGTTTGTCATGCTTACTGCACTTGCACTTCCCGATGTTGCAAAATGTAGTCCACGATCAATAATACGGTAATTCTGAAAAGTGATTTGAAAAGGGATCTATTGCTTCTGGTAACAATACTATAGACCGTTCTACTTGACGGAAATGAAAGCAGGAGCAGGCATTGCATGTATAGTGTCTGTTTTCCATCTCCTTAATTATCCCCTTCTAACACTGTAGAGAGCATCTGAACAGTGTCTCTGACTCTAGTTACGAAGCCAAACAGATCTATTGAGACCCGTCTAATTTAACCACCTGAATTTAAAAGGCTCGAAATCCCCATTCGCTGGTCTGAATTGGATTGATTTTTCTGGGCAGCTTTATTCCAGGGCCCGTTGATAGCTGTAAACCTGATTACAGGGAAACTCGGGTCTGGACCAGTCTTCTCCTGCGTGCGAGCTGCTCTAGCTTCGTCAACGTGATCGTCAGCTACAGTTCCTGGGATGGTGGGACCTTGAGCGATGCCGAGGTTATCGCCTGTCCTGTTGACTTTATTCGAGGCGACTTTTCCAGGTCTTTGTGCAATACCAGTAGCACCGGCTGCTTTTGAAGCCTTGGCCGTTCTACCATTGCTGAGTTTCTGCTTCTTTTGCTTTCGTTCCTTAGTAGGGCCCCCGTCTTTGCCTTCAGGTTCATCGCCCTTCGGAGCTGCTCTCTTCTTGTTACTATTTCCTTCCCCTAGCGAGCAAGACTCTTTGCAACGCATGCAGTGGCTGCAAGGTGCGTTTTTCCCAACTGCCACTCTGCATTCGCCAGGCGGCTTGTTTCTACATTTATGGCATGCCACAGGGACGACCCATCCGGTACTGTAAACCTTGTCGGCTCTCATGTGCTCGGCTACGGTTCTGGGAGAAACGCTGAACTCCTCCGTTCTTGGTTTCTTTATGCACACGGTGCAATTACAGAGCACCTTGCCATCCTTGAATACCTTGCCTGGTTTGTACCCGGGTTCCGAGGGTCCGCTTTGTGACAATTCACGTGGCGCCGGCTCAGATATATCTTTGGGCAACGGAGAGGCGGATGGAGACAGTGGTAATCCCAATGGCTTTGATGACTCGACTGCGTTTCCCATGGTGGCTTGATTGGGAACAGGCTGTTGTTCGTTCTTCTGATTACCGCTGTTTCTCCGCAACGCTCGCGGCTGACATGCTTTCGTGAGAAATTTGGAAAGACATTTTCGGACCTCCTTTTTTATCTGCATTGGCTGCAATGGAGTAGTTTTCGCATTGCTTTCCCGGCGTGTTGTGTGGCTATTTTTTGAGGCCTCTGCAACCTGAACAAGCTGCTGCTTGTCCTGTTTGGTGTCGGCGACCAAGGATAAGGAACGAGAACGTTTAGTTTGAGTGACTTTATTTTCTTCTCCGGGAGGATTAGCCGAAAGCAATGCCATTGGAGAATGAGGCGCGCTCCGCTGAATTATAGTTGAGGTCGCAACAATGATGTTACGAGTTGCTTGTTGATCTTGTTGGTTGATATCGGTTGGCGTGGCAGGTGCGGCCTGGTTACTGAAATTGACGAGAGTCATAGCCGCAGAGGCCATTAAATCGAGGTCATCCATCGTTCGTAGTTGTTTACAATGTGCGAGAAATAAGATGGGCTCAGTTCTCAGTAAGTATCTGATGTCACAGTAAACTTGAAAGATGAAGGATGAAAGCTGTGGTTGCGATGTTCATTGACATGGTATTTTTCCAAGATGTTCTGTCTTGTGTCTACGATGCTGCAATCTTATAGAAATCGGGAAAAACTATCTTGGATTAACGGAGATACGTTTGGCTTATGTTATCTTCATAGCAGCAGAATCAGAGTTGGCTTGTTTTCTGGGTCGCCTCAAGACTTTGCCTTGGGTAGGTATGGAGATGACTGTTTCCTGCCGGGCGATAATATCAGGAGCACTGGAAGGAAGCACAGAAATTGTTTGGGAAACGCGGTGTGATCAAGGTTTCTGAATACCAAGATTGTAAAGTCTGGGGCTCGCCAATATCGGAGAAACATATGTTTAAGTGGGTGCCAATGTCTTTCGGAGATAGCTATTATCCAAAGCCAATCTCTTCTTCTAGGGGTTGGACACCAGAGAAGTGATTTCGATCAATTTTTCATCTTACTGTGTGTTTCCCTTTCCGCAATTTCAATGTCTCTTACTGTAAAGCGTAGAAACGCAGTTAATGTTGTCGATGCGAAGTAGTCCCACAGCTTAATGTCCAGCGAGATAGACCTATTCAACCAAATGACTTACCTAGTGAGGTGAAAGAGCACGCTCTATTATTTATAACGGACTTCATATGGTTTATTTTCATACTTTTGCAAAGAGTTCAAAACGAATAGCCAATTTGGCAATGCGAGCAGGCCAAGGCAGGAGACCATCACATCACTAGGTGTTCACGGTGATGTGACAGAACACCAATCGCTCCCAAACTCGAGGTTCAATACTCTGGGATCCTTTGATTTCCTCTACAACTAATGTATCTCGAATATTGGTTCTTGAAACCCGAACTGGTCTGAGTTGACGCCATACATAGTCGAGTGCCACTTGTTTGGGATCACATTAGAAACTTGAGTGGTGTTTTTGACACGAAATAGGGCAATTGATGAAATGCTACGATATCAGATATCCGAATCAAGCAAAAGTTAAACACAGCTGATATTTTGGTCCAGAGCCTGTGTATGTGGTGTCTAGGCCCGTGTTGTCTCACAAGACAAAGGACACGATGGTAAGTCTTCAATTCTCAGTTCTTTCCGGCTATCACAGCCAATTCCGGAAGCCTTCTGGACTTTGTGATTATTTCGATAAAGCCTTCTGAGACCCATTAATGAAGTGTCAACTCTAAATTCATTTCCGCAAACGTCCATATTTCTTTGAAATACGCATGTCCGCATCTAATGATATGGTCTTCATTTACTTGTGAGGCTGAAATCCAGAGCCAATATCGAAAGACCATGTTAATGCTGACTTCAAGCCAGCTCCACGTGGCGAGCTTTTCTGGGCTGATCTGGAACAAGCTTTCGTACCATTCTAGGCCCGACAGTCGTGGTCTAGTTCAACTCTCAGTCTCTGGTGTCGAAATCAGACTTACAAGCCAACTTTTGGTTTGGCATAAACAACAGCAAGAGAAAAACTGTCCATTATATGTCCAGATCATAAGGACCGTAATTAATATATAAGAGAGGAGCCCGCCCTCCCAACTCTGATTTATTTTCCAGACACACAGCATCGCACACTATAACAGTGCAGCAACAACCACATTCACATTTCTAAACACTATATAATCTAAAAGCAATCACCATGCATCTATCAACCTTCTTTACCGCACTTCTCGCAGCCGCACCACTGGTGGTTCAGGCCTCGCCCATCTCTCTTGAAGGAGACAAACTCGAAAACGTGGAGGTAGAGAAGAGAGGCATCGGCAGACTCAAGTATCCTCTCTATCTCACAACCCTTCCGAAGAACATGACTTTTACACTCAACGAAATCGCCAAGAACATTCCCAAGGGCATGGAAGCCTGGGTAGAAGATGGCAAGAAGCTCCCCTACACCGTCTCCAACGCCGACGTCGAGGCGGCAAAGAAGAGGGGCGCGAAAGGAGTCTTGTTGGGCCGCTTTGCGATGCAGACGGGAGGCTCCGGCTTTGGAGGAGGCACTGGCTCAAGCTTCAACATCAAATACACCATCAGCGGCCGCGCGCCCGAGGCTGCAGGGACCGCGGTGCAGAAGACCCCAGGCACGCTTACCATCAGCACCTCGGACTGGGGCGTCTTTGGTCGGCCCGACACAACCACCTTTAGCTGGAACGTCGGCCAGTCGGGCTGGGGTACGTGGACGGCCAAGACACCTACGCTCGTCTCCCCCGATGACGCTTTTATCGCCGTTGCATACGTCCCCAAGATGAAGGCCTACATATTCTCTCTCACTACGGACACCGATTCTATCACCAAGTTCATGCGGGGCATGGTTGGTGCCGTCCTCACACTCCATGAGGTTGTTCTGTCCGCTGGAAGTAGCTCTCTGGGCACGGTGGCCAGCCTTGGAATGAAGGCAGCACTCTGGGTTCCAAAGGCGCTTTAATTGAATGTGGAGCAGACCGAAAAGCTTAGGGCGGATTATGTTTGCAGGCTGGACGTTTTATGGCTCATCTAATATCTTTAATAATCTAAACACTCGATAGGGAGTATAATAATAATAATGAACTTCACTGAACTCCACTTACCCTTCTATTATGATTAAAAGACATGATTCTTAGAAGGTATATTACTACCTTTTCCAAGGACGTTGCATTCGAGCGCGGAAAGTAGGAACACGGGGCCGACCGGACCTCAATCGGGTATGTCCAACCGGCACGGGCCCCTCACAGCCGATCGCCGCAGACTGCACCTCTGGAGCGGGGGTTTCGACTGGGCGCTTTCTCGGCAGCCCCTCCTACATCACGACATGATAAACAATGGAAGCTTCATAAGAACCACAGCACGTTGGTACGAAGGGGAATTATCACCTCAATTACGGCATTTTATTATCAGTGTTCATCAGAGACTAATAGCTGAAACAAACCGCGTGCCACTTACCTCGCACCCATCATCTGCCTCTAAACAATCACCGTCTCTCTCACCATCGTCCTTCATCTTCAATACAATAACTCAAGATGGACGAAAGGGCCCGCATCCCCGTCACACTGCCGGTGCCTAACCCGACGCAAAGTTACTGGCACTCCCCGCCATCCCGCCTTGAGACACACACCTCCGGCGCCCTCCCATCAAGGACCGAGACCCTGATAATCGGAAGCGGAATCACCGGCGCGGCAATCGCTCACTTTCTATTATCCTCCTCGTCGCCGCCCCCAGACATAACCATGCTGGAAGCTCGCACCGTAACCTCCGGCGCGACCGGCCGGAACGGGGGCCACACGAAAGCAGCATCCTACCGCTCCTTTCTCCACCACGTATCCGTCCTCGGCACGGAGCAGGCGTGTCTCATTGCACGCCTCGAGCTCGCCAACCTCCGCGCCGTCCACGCTTTCGCGGCGGCTCATCTCACCGACACAGAAAGTAGACCCTGTCAGACTGTAGACGCGATATACGACCCGGAGCAGTGGGAGACGGCGAAGCAGGCCATCGAGGCGATGAGGAAGGCCATGCCTGGCGAAGATACCTCTCAGTACGAACTATACGACGTCGAGGAGATGAAAACCCGGTTCCACGTCGATGGGGAGGGGCTGTGCGGAGGAGTCGGGTACGAAGCCGGCAGCATCTCGGCTTACCGATTCACCACCGGCGTACTGGAACTCTGCATCGCCAAGGGCATGAAGCTGTTCACCGAGACGCCCGCTCTGACCCTCGAGAAGCGCGACGGGGGGGAGGAGGAGGGCAAGTATCGATGGACGGTGAAGACTCCAAAGGGAACGATCGAGGCGCAGAGAGTGATGCTCGCGACCAACGGATACACTGCGTTCCTGCACCAAGGGTTCCAGGGCGCCATCTGCCCGCTGCGGGGTCAGATCACGGCTCACCGCCCGGGCTCCAAGATGCCGCGAGAAGGCCTACGGACAACCTACAGCTTCATCTACGAGGACGGCTACGAGTACATGATCCCTAGGCCAGCAGGCGCGGCAGCGTTCGCCAACGACGTCGTCATCGGCGGCGGGCTCGCCCGCCTGCCGGACGAGGGTCTGGAGGAATACGGTGTGACGGATGACGCGCAGCTGAACCCAGCCATCAGCTCATACCTGCATCAGACGACGCCGCGTTATTTTGGCGCCGCCGGCTGGGGCGACGACGACCCGGACGGCAGGGTACGCGCCGAGTGGACGGGCATCATGGGGTTCAGCCCTGACGGGTTCCCATTCGTCGGGCGGGTGCCGGGCGAGGACGGGCTGTGGGTTTGTGCCGCCTTTCAGGGACACGGGATGGTGATGTGTTGGATGTGCGCGAAGGCGCTGGTCGCGATGCTCACGGGCGGGGAAGATCTCGAGAGTTGGTTTCCCGAGGTGTTCCGCATAACGCAGGAGAGGATGACGGAGAGGTTCAAAGGTAGAATCACCCACAGGACTGCGACGGGAGGGCCCACTGGCCAGACCAGAGACATTTGAATCACTTTTCTTTTTCTTTTTCTTTTTTTTTTCCCTCGTTTCTTTTTTCTCGTTCTGACGCCCACCGCCCCCAACGTTGCCTGTTGCGGCTGGAATAAAGTTCCCATCACGTCAGCCTTGGCCGGTTAGCTTAACCATTCCCTCGGATTGAGCACAAAGAGGGTCTGTTCTAGCGGTGAAAGAAAACGGGAAAAAAAAAGAAAAGAAAAAGGAAGGGCGAAACATGCGAGGGGGGAAAGGGGAAAATGGCGTGTTCCCTCCGCGGGCCCAGCGGCAGCCAGTGCTGTGGTTAGTCCGCTCTTGGCTCTGCAGGTCGACGGAAGAGAAGTCAGCGAAAGGGGGGGATGGGGTGGCATGATACCACCACCATACAGAAATATCTCGTTGCGGGCGTGGCCAGTGTTACAAGGCAAGGCAACCGCCAATGTAGTAGGTAAGGTAGGGGGAAGCGTTTGGGCACAGGAAGTCAGTCTGGCAATTTGTGCCTGCCGGGTCGTCCGCTTCTCGTCAGTTCTTTGCCCTGCGAAGCTGTGGAATGCTACTTTGCCAAGGGGGCGGGCTTACAGTCTTTGAACCGGCACGAATGGGAAACATTTGTCAAGCTCTCTCTCAACGCACGCAGCTACTCTGGGACACATGGATTTAGCTCGCCGGCAGGAGATGACCCCCCCGGTCAAGCACCTTGGGCTCACGACGATGCCGCCCGACGCTCCTAATATGGAATGTCCCAACGGAGCGGCACGGACGGGAATCTTACGAACGCGTTGGCACGGTGTGCTTCGGCTCGCTTGCAGGCACGAGCCCCCCCAGTGAACCACTCAGTTGGAACGGCGGCACGGGGCAGGCAATGAGATGCTGTTGGACGGCGGTGTCTCATAGCCGACGGAAGAATATTTTAAAAAATAATAAAATTAAAATTAAAACGAAACAGACAGGGCTGTGGCGCTTTGGGGGTCTACAGATTTTGAACATCAGCGGCCGGCAGCAATGAAGCCATTACGTTACAATATAGACATGCCGGAAGCCTGTCCCGGCCTGGTTGAAGTGAGCTGGATGGGCAGACAGTCAAACGAACAGCCAGGGACTTTTGGCGAGGGGTGAGAGCCCAGTGCCTAGACCATGGTTGCAGGTATTGCGCAGATATGCAGACTAAACCCATTCTCTCCCATTATTTGATGGATGTTTGGTTCGGCCGCGCTAGCCAGACGGGGCCAGGCTCGTTACTTGTCATGAGAGGGCAGAAAAAAAGAATAATGTTACCTTGGGAGGCAGCCATGGCCTCATCCCCTTGTTCGATGCAGCTCGAGAGATGGATGGGAAAGGGTAAAGGGGAAGAAAAAGAGAAATCCCTGTTTCGGTGAGGCATTGTGGTAGGTCATTTCGGGCGCCCTAGGGTGTAAATGATGCTTAACACGAACCACAACAGGGTGGATATGACGAGACCTGCTTGCGGCACATATTCTATGCGATCCACTGCTTTGGAACTTGGGCAACATCAGAGGAGGGACATATACATGGGGCCAGAGAGTCTTGACGGGCTAAAAAGGCGTACTATGGTGTTCTGGGACCCAGCAGAATATGCAGACGCAATCCGACAGAGGGGATATTGGCCCGCACAACTGCAGGCACAGTGAAGAGACTCGGCCAATGGCCTTTGGTCTGGGAAAATGCGCGCTCATGTCAGGTTGCGGTGAGCGTTTGGGAGGAGAGGCACGGCACCAGCTGTTTCTTGCCGCGTGATCCTCTTGTATGCCCAAGTTAAGGGTCAGACATGCAGTTGAGGCTTGGAAAGCGACGATCATATCTGACTTTGAGTCATGCTTGTGCAGAAACATACGTATGCTGGCGGTTGAAAAGAGAGCGTCGATAGAAAAAGCTGAACCATTTCGTCAATGTGGAAAGCTGAGAAAAAAAGAAGAAAAGAAAAAAAAAAAAAAAAAAAAACCATGTGCCCCCAGCGCTAGTGCGGGCACAGGGAGGTTGGTAGTAGTGACCCCCGTCAGCCGTTTATTCCAGGTTGAAAGAGACGCATAGTATACATTCCCCCTCCTCCCCCTCCTTAGCGCGATACCGGCGAACGAAGATCTTTATCGCACCAATGTCTTGTTAAAATCTAATGTTTGTCCACAACGGAAATAGGTGACGGAAATTTGCAGCTCGGCGCCGGATGAGAGACCCCAAAGCGGGAGTTTCAACGAGACGCGGCAGTTCGGTTTGACAGGTATGCAGCTAGTTTATTAGTCTGCTGGGGATCAGCTGAGAAGTGACCCTGACAGCGGCGGATGCTCACTAAGGTAAGACTGCTGGCGTTTGCCACTGAGAATAGAGAAAGTCTCCTATTTGACCCCCCTCCCATGTCAAAACCCCGACTCTTAGTTGCCGACCCGCGAGGGCCGGGGGATGATTGGATGCCGGTCGGCAGCCGTTCGGCAGCCGTAACGGCTGACCGCCATCCTTGATCAGGATCGCGATCTACAACTCAGTGTGGAAAGCCGAAAGGTGACGGTTCTGGACCATTCTACCCACTTTGTTTTCTTCCTGTCCTTCTTCTCTTTCCACTCAGAAGCCTGAAGTTGTGACATATAGGTGTGCTGGTGGGGGGAGCGAGGGTAATACCGGCAAAGGTACCCTTTACCCACATCCCTTGGAAACTAGAGACGGCTCTTGTATTCGGTTCTCCGAAGCATCCAACCGTGAATGTCGAGTTGAATTGGTAAGGTACATTTATGAAATTGAAGCCGATTATGGTCCCCCTGTTTCGCCTTGTGTAGAGTATCAAACGAAAATAAGAATAATCATAATAACCCGGCACTACCCAATGCCCACGCGATCCGCGTTTGACATGTTCCACAAATGACGACTGGGCATGGGGGATAGGCAGTAGCGCGCACGTTGTGAGGTTACGCAGCAGCTGTTAGCACTGCATATCTCAATACCGCGGCCGTGCTGGTAACGTGGACTATGTATGATTGACGGACCCGGGCGACAAAGGAGGTCGAATCGAGGGGACTGTGCGTGCTGTGCCTTTGGAGGGCGTCTGTGGGATTTACCCATCCATCCATACATCCATCCATCAACGGTGGGTAGAGTACGCGAGTACCCTTGTGAATCCCCAAGATACAGCCATGAGTGAGTGGACTGACGGGTTTCCTAAAAAGCGTTATGTCCGGTGTTAGAGGCGACGATGCCCGTTTGCTCCGGGAGACGGCAGATGTTGTTTTTTTTTTGCTAGACACGATAGCGGCCGTTCCAACTGGAACCGACCATTACCCCCATTCTACAAAGTGCTCCGTACTGGGGCGGGGTTAATGGGCCAGGAAAGTCGTGGCTAACGGAAACAGACCTAGTCGCGAATGTCAACTGACAACCGTTATTGGGCCAGGCGCATGTTCTGGGGTCTAAATGAGACGAGACGATGTTCCCTTGCCTAGTGGGAAAGGGACGGCTTCAGGAAGGGGTTGCAGTGAAGACTTGGTGGTGGTCCTAACAGTGTCGTGGATCCGGGAGATGACATCCGAGCGTATCATCCAACGAATTTAAGCAATGCAAAATAGATTGGCAATCCCCATGCATGGCAGCGAGCGAAGACCCGGGACGTTGTGCTATTTGCCTCACTTGCAAACCTTTTATTCTTATTTGATAAGCAATACGAGGCTGGGATCCTTGTACATAGTAGAGTATATCGTCTTAGGTACTTGAAGATGGGAAAGGGTATAAACTGGAGAACTCGCGAGCGACTACGATTTGCAACTGCCGAATGCCGGATTACAAAACGGCGCCGAAGGTGTATTCTACTGCAGAAGAAGGACTTTTGTCAGGGACGAGCAGATCTTTGATGTTAAGCCTACGCTAGTAAGCGACCGGATCTCTTAACCATGCCTATGCCGTGTTTCCTAGCGAGATCGACCAGTATGACTTTAAAAAAAAAACTTATTTTCCTTCCTTGAGGATATTTGGCCATTTTTGTGGACATGGGAAAAAAAAAAAAAAAAAAAAACCATCAAAAAGCCGAGAGGGCACTCAACAACGCGAGGTTTTACACACAAAAAAATAGACAAGTCGAGGGGGATGAGAAAACCTCCAGCGCCATTCCATGGGTGCTACACCTCGGGCACATGCCGCTGAATGCTACCGGGCGGAGTGACATTCCCGGCGTCAACTTCCCCCCCCCCGGCCCAGCGTGCCATTCCTTTGGGAATATCCACTGTCATGGCCTGTGGCCAGGACCCCCGGCTGCCCTAATATCTGTTTGTTCAAGGTAAAGTGAGGCTAAAGGTATCCGTCTGTCTGCACTTGGGGGGGGGGGGGGGGGCTCTGGGATCAGGGCGGAAGACGTGGGAAACAAAAGAGACTTGTGCTGTCTTGTGTAGTTACATCGTTTTCGGCGGTACTTTGGCACAGTGGTGAGGTACTGGAGGTACTGGCAATGTCGACTTCTGCCCTTCTCTTCAACCTCGGCTTATCCGCTTTGAGTATTCCTTCACTCCACAAGAGAACCGCCTTTTTTGCTGACCTTTACTGTGTAGGATGCTACCGTCTAGGTCTTGGCCCCCACTGCAGGCCAAATTCCACCCCCGAAATGGAGGGGGGGGGGGGGGGTTTCCATTCCTTCAACGGCTTTTTCTATCGCCCCGTCATGGCAAGTGTACATAAGTGTAAGTACGTATACTCGGTTCGGTAATACACATTTTTCGAAAACGAGTAGCAGACAATGAGAAGAAGAAACAACATGTGCTGCCCGTGTCATCCAGCGGTTCGGATAGCCTAATTCTCCATGCGAAAACTACTTTCTGTCATGCGCGTGGCAATTATATGCTCAAGTTGCCTATTTTGCTCAACTCAAGGTTTGCGTCGAGGGGAATATACTATGTTCGATGGAGGGTATGGAGAATGGGGGTGGGATGGGAAAGGGAAAAACGGAAAGTCGCATGTTAGCCAATCCATGATTAATCGATATAGTTTACTGATGGGCACTTCACAGGCACTGAACTGGCAAATAG